TAACTCTGAATACAAACAAAAAAAATTGGATTAATTCAACATCAAAATGTGAAAATGTGGTTGTTTTTTTTTAACTGAAATATGATTTCAGAATTTTTAACAACTGTAGAAGAACAAAGGTATCTGGATCCTGTGGGTTGCCTTTTTTTTCAGTTATTGTTTCAGTGTTTTTCCAGGTGTAATTTTATGTTAGCATGTGTGATTAATTTATAATAGAAGAATTTGTATTTGGAGAAGCTTTCAGGTTTAAGTTGTTTTTTTTTTTTTTTTTTTATTTGCACATCTTATGTAATTAAAACCAAATGAATGGAGTACTAGGATGTTGGCTGGTCAGGAGAGATAGTCGGGACAGGGGAGGTGGAGGTGCTACACTGTACTTAAGGGAAGGATTAGACTGTACAGCCTTGTAGGTAGGGGTGTCATGGTAGAGAGCCTCTTGGTGAGGATTAAGGGTATGAATAGCAACGCAAATGTTGTTGAGGGTGTCTACTATCACTCATCCAGAACAGTGACACAGATGAGCAATAAGGCAGAATAAGGCAGTAGGCAGTAAGGAGAGATTTCTGGATTGGTTGCTCTTGTGCTTATGGGAGATTTCAACTCCTCAGTCATAAACTGGGAAGAGCGTACTTACACAAGTAAGGCTGAAATTCCCAAAACGTGTTGAAGATAAATTTGTCACATATACTTGGTGATCTAAATAGGAAAGGAGCCCTACTGGATCTGTTGTTTGAGAATAGGGAAGATCTTGCGGTGGAGGTGATAGTAGGTGGCCATCTTGACTACAGTGGTCATGAAATAGTTGAGTTCCTCATTACTTCTGGTGTAATGAGGAAGAAGGTCAGCAGAGTTGCCTACAGTTGCCTACTTGGAGTTCAAGAGTGCAGACTCAAGGCTTTTCAGGCAGGTAGCTAGCAGTGTCCACTGGGAATCTGATCCAGATGGTTTAGAGGTACAAGAGAGCTGATTGTTCCTCAAGAATCACCTTTTAGAAGCTTAGCAGCATGCAGTGCCCCTGTGCTGCAAGCTGAGCCAAAGACAAACTTGTCTGAAGAGAGAACTTCTGGAACTAGGACGGAAAGAGAAAACACATCGTATCTAGAAACAAAGTCAGGCTTTACAGGGAGGCTGATGACAGGTATTCAAATCTCCGAAGTAAGCATTTTCTGAAATGTTTCTAAAAGATTAAAAAAAAAAAAAAAAGCACAGAAATAAAAATCTTAGTTACTTGTAGCAGGAAGAGGTCAAGACAATTAACTGTATGACTACATTTTATGTAGAGATAGTAAGTTTTTTAAAACTTTTTAATAGCAGTATTTATTTCGCAGTAAAAATATTACATTTTACAAATTACTTTTTATTTTGATTAAATTGGACCTGGGGGGTACTGCTGCTGTTTTGTTATGCCCAAGCTGAAAGCCACTGACCTATTTATATATGTGAAAATTCTTTTGACCTTTAACAATCCAGCAAATCCTTACATATTCCCAGATTTGATGGTTTTTTTTTTTTTTAATCTGTTTTCTTTTAAAGCAGGAGCATCATAGAACTGTGAGGAAATTTTGGCATCTTATTGAATGCCATAGTCTTCTTTTTGCAATTTTGTATTAGTCATTGACTCAACTGAGGCTAGAGCAGAAGATGGTGAAGAGGAACTGAATTGCTAGTGTTTCTTGTTAGATGGAGTAATTTCTTCCTTATGACTGAAAAAAGTAGGAAAGAAATCAGCTTTGCCGAACTGAGAAGTGGCTGAATCTCTATATGGAGACAGAAATCAGTGACCAGAAATAAAAGTTTGAAATGCTATTATAAAAAAGAGAAAAGGGAATGTAAAATATTTACTTGTTTCATCTTAATGATGTTTCTTCAAAGCCATTGGCTTGTTTACTGTGCACTGACTTAGAATTAGATGAGTATGGACAGAAAAATGAATGTGGTTTTCTTTGATTTTTGCCTCGGGAATATATATGGAGTACATGAAATTATTGTGAATTCAAACAGTGCGTTGAAAGGGAAGAAGGCTTTAATTAGTGGACTTCAAGTGGTTAGATCAGTAAAACCTAACTGATAACATCTTTGATTTGTGTCAATATGCCTTCATCAATAACATTTTTTTTAATTCGAATTTTTGTGTTGCAACTGTAGTGAGGACATCATAAAAGATGTGACAGGTATGTCACAGGATCTGCAAGTGGCAGATGGGGTTTGAGGAAGTAAGGACTGCTAAACACTGGGTCTTTGGAGACATGGCAATGGATGGGAAAAACAGTACTTTCAGATCCTGTACTTATCTATATGTAAGGAGAGAAAAATCTTGTTTTGGATTTACACAAGTGCGTTTTGCTTATTTATATAATGACACAGCATTTAAGTAGCCATTTTCATCTTCAAAGTAATCTTGCAAATGCAGGCACACTAATTCTTTCCACACACTGGAGAAGTAAAATTATTCCTATCTGACAGACATTAAATTGAGAGAGACAAGTGTTTTGCACTAAGCTAGTCAGGAAGCCACTGCAAATTCAGTGTTAGAAAACAATTTTTCCTGCTCAGAAATAAGTTAACCTGCCATAATGACCTGTTTCGTGATATGTTGAATATTAGTGAAGGGAAACAGACCATTTCAGACCTCGTTGTAAGTCTCTTTGTGGACTGATGTTTTAACGAAATGATGCAGTTGCTGTGTTTCAGTATTCCAGCTAAATACATCACCAGGAACTTTGCCAAATTGAATTGAAATAACCTAAATAATGTAGCGTAGGTAGTACCCACTGTCATATTCTTTGGAGAGTGCTAAATAAACAGTGAAAGGTGAGTTTAGGTTACCTTCATTTTGGATCTAGCTTTGAATTTGAAAAGAAAAAAAAACAGTGAGAGAGTGAAGAGCTCTGGAAGCACAGACTCTGAAAACTTCTGTTAAACTTCCCTAGCTGCTTTCATGGTAGTTATTCAGTAGTTGTAGTAGAAATAAATAAGTCTTCCACATCATCTTTGAGATTTTCAGATGTTAGCAATCTAGATTTTCATTACTTCATAATAAATACAGGATGCGAAGAGGCTTTTTTCCTATTGATTTTTAGACAAAAATGTTTTGATACTCTGAGGACATATGGGAAAACTCAGTTGAAAGACAACCGAACCTAAAAATTCAGGTATAAAATCTGAAGTGTGTAAAATCCCGCTCAAGAGACTTGTTTCAATTTTGTTGTTGTTGTTGTGTACTTCTTATACAATGGGGATCTAAGTTAGTGAGCACACAAGTGTAGAAGGTTCAGGTTGGATATTTCATTTTAGGATGCAGTTACCTTAACTGTCCTGACCATAAACTCACTAACAGGCAGAAATATGAGAAGATTATTTCAGAGAAATAAGCTGCTTTATCCAACAGGGAATGGGTGTCTACAGTGGGGAGTTATGACAGAAATCACTTAATGCTTGCTGCGTTATGTGTGCTGAAGTTAGTGTGTGTATGCTGTAATGAGATTTTGGGTACTCTGTCAGGAATTCCTGAAATTCTGTAGCATGCTTCATTTCCTCTATCACTTCTGCCGGCCTGGATGTGGATCTGGACATCCTGATGTAGAGGCTGGCGACCCTGCCTACTGCAGGGGGGTTGAAACTAGATGATCTTTGAGGTCCTTTTCAACCCAGGCCATTCTAATATTGATCTTGTTTCTTCTGTGTGTATTCTCTCTAAAGCATGCAACTGCCCTGTTGGTATTATTTTTTTTAATAGATGTTATTATGTAATTTCATAGGCGTAGTAGTTTCACTGGTATTTTGTTGGGACTATACAAACAAAACAATTACACCATTATCTTCAGTATAAAAAAATATGAATATCGTTAACTATTCTCACTGCAGTATATTTTGATGAATTATTTCCTACCACAGTCATTTAAGGAGAAGAGTTTATTAACATCTCCAGGCAGCATGTTCTGGTCCCCTGTCTTCAGTTTCCATTGCGTTGTCTTGGCAACACAGTGCAAAATCTTACTGTGAGTTTCCAGAAAGGTGGGTTTTGCAGCTGAGTTCTGTGAGGTAATCTCTAGGTTTTCACTACAGAACTGCTCTTCAGCTCCATAACCTTGTCTATAAAGACTTCGTTTCCCCACATTTGACAGTTGGATTCCACATTTTGTTTTTCAGTCATCTGTTTTGTATGAATCTGAACTGTACAGATTTCCTTTCTAGTCCATTGAGTTCCTTAACATGATGAGATTTTTTTAGAGCGAAAGGTAAATTAAAGAGTAGCTGTTTTCTTTATAGCAAGAGTCAATTCTTAGATTATTTTTTTTAATAGCTAGAGATGCAATTGTGGAGTTATGGAGCCAAAGCAGAACGCAAATGAAAGAGGTGGCATTCAGAGTTCAGGCTGCTGTTTTAAGGTATCAGTACCTCATTGCAGATGCAGTTTTTGCTTTTTAGAGATGTTTGTAGCTTGTAGACTGGGATCATATTTTTCTTTTGACGGAAACTGGTATTCTACAGAGCAGTTGTTTAAAAGTGGAATTTACTGTGCAGAAAGCTATTCATCCCTGAGTTGCAGAGGCCTTAAGAGTATCATGTTCTGGATGACTGGGCTTGTAACAGGTGTTCACGTAGTGAAAAAGAAGAAATGCGGCTGTTCTTAACATCTCTGTATAGAGGTTTGTATTGTGTCATTAAGTGTACTTGTTCTATTGTAATTTAATGCAATTTCAGGAAGTGATATGGGTTTAAGTTGGGATTTATTTTCTAATGAGCCAGGTAATTTGGTATATATTGTTTTGGAGAAGCCAACTTGTGAAAAGCAATTGGTGCCTCTTTTTCTCAGTATTTTAGTAATATTACCACTCAAACATGGAGGGGAGAGAGGAAGCAACTGCTCTCCATCAAAGAACATAGGAGACCAGAATCCACACGTGCATCCCAGGCTGCAAAACGGTACTGGTTCAGTGAAGGGAAGAAGTGTTGTGGCTTGGATTTAAAATGGGGGGGAGGGGAAAAAAAGAAAACCAAACCAAAACACTTTTATTTATGGAACTGATTGTAGGTTGGGTGTAGTTAGCTAGTAAGCAGATGATCACAGATCTGTAAGGGTTTGAAGGGGACCTCTAGAGATCTATTGCATCCAACTTCCCAGCAAAGCAGGCTCTGTACAGCAGGCTGCACAGGTCAATGTACAGGCGGGTTTTGAATATTTTCAGAGAAGGAGAATCCACAACCCATCTGGGCAGCCTGTTCCAGTGTTCTGTCACCCTTACTCTGAAGAAGTTCCTTCACGTATTGGTGCAGAACTTATGTTCAAGTTTATGGCTGTTTCCTCTTATCCCATCCCCACAGACTGTTGAAAAGAGATTGGCCATGTCCCTTTGACTCCCACACTTGAGATATTTATAAACTGTAGTAAGATCTCCTGTCAGTCATCTTTATTCAAGGCAGAATAGACCCAGTTTGCTCAACCTTTCCTCATAGGGGAGATGCTTCAGGCCCTTTATCATCTTTGAGACCCTCTGCTGGACTCTATCCAGAAAATTCCTGTCTTTTTTTTGTTCTGAGGAGTCCAGGAACTATGCACAGTACTCAAAGTGAGGCCTGACCAGGGTAGAGTATTACCTCCCTTGACCTGCTGGCCACGTTCCTTTTAATGCACCCCAGGATCCCCTGGGCCTTCTTGGCCACCAGGGCACACTGCTGACTCATTGACAGTTTGTCATCCACCAGGACCACCAGGTCCTTCTCCACAGAGCTCCTCTCCAGCAGGTCATGTCCCAGCCTGTACTGACACTCATGGTTACTCCTTCCCAGGTGCAAGACTCTACACTTGCTTTTGTTAAACTTCATCTGGGTTCTTGCTGCCCAGCTCTCCAGTCTGTCCAGGTTTCACTAAATGGCAAGCGCAGCCTTCTGGTGTGTCAGTCATTCCTCCCAGCTTCGTATCATTGGTGTACTTGCTGAGGGTGAACACTATGGCACTGTCCCTTCATCAAAGTCATTGATGAAGATACTGAACAAGACCGGACCCAGCACCAACCCCTGTTGAACACCGGTAGGCATAGGTCTCCAACCAAACTCTGCACTGCCAAGCACTACCATATCAGTCAGTTCTCAACCCACCCCCAATCCACTCATCTGTCCCACACTTTCTCAGTTTCATTGTCAGGATGTTGTGGGAGATGGTATCAGAAGCCTTGCTGAAGCCAAGGTAGATGACATCCTCTGCTCTCTCCTCCCATCTTGGTGATGCCATCAAGAAGGCTACCAGGTTGATTGTGATTTTTCCCTTGGTGAATCCATGCTGACTATTGCTGATGACCTTTTTCTCTTCCAATTGCTTGGAGATGGCATCTAGAGCAAGCTGTTCCTTGTGGTGACAGAGGTGAGACTGACTGGCTTGTAGTTCCCAGGTAGTTTCCTGGATTGTATCCTTCTATTAGAAAAACACAAGCATGCACCTTTGTGGTTTCTTTTTTTTTAATTGCTTGGAAGCCTCTCTCCTCCTCCTGGCTGTTCTCTTCCCACTGGTCAGCACGTCTTCTGAGATGACAGAAATTCTGTATCAAATATGCTGCCTGATACACAATCTCATCTTTATGTCTTATGCACACTGACACTTTCTAATTTAAAATAACTAGAAACTATATATTAAGCTTTGCCGTTCCATTTTACGCCAGTTTCTCAGTGTTTATTAATCTTAATCACTTCAAATTGTCTTTCCACGTGCAGTCAGCGGGCATGCATTAATATGAATGAAACATATGTGTTTTTCTCCTTTCTAAAATTTATTTATATGGTTGAAATGATTGCAAATAGAAGAACTGTAAGGCAGTCTTTAAGTTACAGAGCTCATCTATGAACAATGTTTAGCGTGCACTGGATGGATAAAGAAGTGGAGACGTCCTTAGAAGATATGTTAAGTGAGAATAGTGCAGTCTCAAATGCTCAAAAAGTGACCAGCTGTGACAGTATCTCCAGTTTATATGTGAGTGAAGATGTTACAGGTTGCTGATTGTTCTTGTTGCATGGCAACTGCTTTTTTTTGCTGCTCAGGGAATAAAGCCCTCATTAGTGTACAGTAGATGACTTTTTTTTTTTCTGATGATTTGAGAACAGGAATGCTAGAAGTAAGCTGCATGAATCCTGTGCATTTTGTGAGATCTAAGGCTGTCTAGTGAAGGCAGGGAGAGGAGTTTCTTAAAGGAGGAGTTTCCCTGATGTTAAAAAAAAAAAAAAAAAAAAAAAGGCTTTGAATTTCACAGTGGTGATTTTATCTGACTTCTCCATCTTGGTAGTATTACTATGCATACAATATATTAAGATTTCCCCAAATGATCAAACAGGAAACGGTTAGCACTGAGATGTGTAATTACTTTTTATAATCTCCATGTATCTCTTAGTATTTCATCATGTTATCAGTTACAATTTTGCATTAGGAAGAAAATAAAAATCTGAAATTCATTTTTAATCTGAAAGTATATTATATTTCATTACATTTCCTGACATTTTTAGATATGCTGTCTGACATCTTCAAAACAAGACCAAAAACCCTGTCATTTTGCTATTGGCAAATTATAAAATGTGCATTACAAATTACTGTTTGGAGGCAAGGGAGCCTGATGTTTTTACAGAATGAATGCATAAATATCTGGTGCTTTGTAACTATCCTGCCAGTTCTAGATAACTAAAGTTATTTCTTCCTTTGGAAGACTTTAATAATTTTCATCATCTACCAAGCTTTAAGTAAGCTAATTAGTAAACATAGCTAACCGTTCCAGACACTTTGGATGTGCTTTGATATCTTTAGAGGACTTTTATATATATATACAATACCTCACACATCACAGTTCATAAATGTGTTCTATATTTGCATTGGCAAAAAAAAAAAAAAGAATTGGGCAAGGAAACCTTGAGGGAGTTTTACTGTTTTGGAGGTTTGATTTTGTGTTTAAATGAATGGATTGGATGTGACAATGGAATTGCCATACAAGAAATATTTGGCCTTCACAAGTGTAATATGTATTCATGGTAGTAGATGCATTATGCCCACAAGTGCTTTGAAGCATTTAGAAAATACTGGAAAATTTGCTTGTTTTTCATCTGACCTGAAATTCTAAAAATAAGCCTTAAAACTTCAGGCAATTCAGAAGAAAATTATAAACAAAACGGAGGTTTTTTTGAGAAACAGGCTTCAGATTTTCAGAAAGCTTTAGTTTTCTTCTGCTTCTGTACATTTGCAAGAAATGGGAGAAGTATTCTCCTTCTGGCTCACTGCACATAGCTACTGTTGTACAGGTGTTATGATGCTTCCACAGTTAATACTAATGTGATAATTCCCAGATTGTGGGAACAATCTTGAAGCTGTCATTTCAGCACTGTATATGTGCATATGTAATATGGGAATGCCTCCTTGTTCATTAAAAAAAATATATTTTATTTAAAGCAACGTGGAATATAATATTGTATTCACTTATAAAGGTTGGGAATTGCCTCCCAGCTGAGGTGGGAGGCATTTGTCAGCACAGCTGGAGGTTGCAATCGGATATGAAGTGAAACCAAGGAGATAACTACCTACATGAACTTTGGGAAAGCTAATTGTTGCAAAAGCTCTGCTCCAGAGAAATGGCTCACTTAGTGAAAGCGCTTAAATGCGTACCTGTGTTGCATTTGACATTTAAAATGTAAAGTAATATCCTAAGCTAGAGATTAGACTAAATGTAGGATTGTGGGGGAGATGGTAGTTATTTGGTAGTTATGATCCTGTTATGAATCATATGAATATGCTAAAAGACATAGCTTGGCTCTGTGTAGCTATGTGTGTGGTATAATGAATGGTAGCTGCAAAGTCCAAAGAAAAGCTTGTCTCTGGCAATGTTTGCATCCCTTCTTTTAGACCACACCTAGCCTACATGTGGCTGCACACAGAACAGTGTCACATAGGAGCTATCCTAACCATTAGGTCATCCAGTTCCATATAAAAGCAGTTTGTGCTGGAAAAAGGAAAGATGGAATGTACACACATGATAACAATAGAAGAATGATAACGGACTATTTTTCAGTGATCTGCACTGATGTGTATTTGAATCAGTTCACGTCAACTCTGCAATTGATTGCCCAGTTGTGCACTTAAGTTGCAAAGTCAGCCTTCTTCATGTGTTGGAGAATTAAAACAAATATGAATATGGCTGTTACATTGTCTATTCTCTCTTTTGTGTTTGCTGCCTTTTAGGGAGTAATCTCTTTTTTCTATAGTGCCTGTCAAGTATAGCTGTGCTGTTGATTAAGCATCTTTGATGTTATTGTACAATAAGGAATAAAAAGAATAAAGAAAACTTCATATGGAAGTGAATAATAAACAGCAAGTTGCCATAACCAGAAAAAAATGCAAATTTTTGTGCTAGGCACTGGCTTTACTGTGAAAATTTGTGGTGGACTGTCTCTTTAACAGATCTTCCAGTTTTCTTTAGTTGCCCTTCTAGAAATGGGTTAATTTTCTATTTGTGTCTTTTTTCCATGAAAATTTCTGGTATTTTATACATGATAGTTTGAGTAGAGAAAGTAAAAATTAAGCAAAGTTTTTAGGGTTCTACATACAAATCAACACAGTGGATTAACACAACTTGGATTTAATTTTACTTCTATGAGATAAACAACACTGTTGGTTTTCCACAGGGGTTACTGTTAACTTATGGAAGTGTTACCCTCTGTTTTCTAGAGTAATAGTGGGATAATCAAACATGTTTTACAACCATTCCACCACAAGGTAAGAAATTGTCCATTCTGATCAACGAAATGAATGTAGTCTAAATGGCCAGCAACCTGATGGGAAGATCTTCCTTTCAGTGTGGCTGTGTTTCTGAAGTTAGAGCAAAAAAGTCTTAGCTGGATTTTCCTTTCCAGGTGCTTTACTGCGTATGTACTTCACCCTAGCTTTGCTCATTCTAGCAAGACATTGGAAAAACTCCTTATGGAAAAGGATAATTATACAGGTCTTTACATATAACTTAACTTGTGTACCACACCTAAAATACAATATTTCCTGTGCATTTTGATTTAAGATAGACCGCTACTACTCACCGTATTTTGACATTCTGTGTGTAGTTGATATGTATTGCGATGATTCTGTATGCATTTAATTCACAAGGAATAAGTTAAGAGTACAGTCAGATGGAGGAGAAATAAATTCTAATTTCGATCACAGTTCAGGAGTTTATCTGCTGCATCCATCATACTCCTCAAAATACAGTTGAAATTAAATGCAAAATGATGCACAACTGAGTTTTGAAGCTTCAGTAGCAGACAGCAAAGCCTTTCTCAGTTCAAGATGACAGATCGCTGTCTTTAGTCTAACCTTGTTGTGCATGAGGTGTGAACTGAAGTTCATGCTGTATTTCTGGCTCTTGGTAAAACTGAATCAGGGTATCCTTACAGTTTACAGTTCTCCAGATTCTTCAGTTATTGTTCTTCTCCTGTGACTTTTCTCATTTCTGTTATTTGCTACAGTACCCAGCTAAATACATTGGGAAAGATTAGGATTTCTATAAATAAATACAAGTTTTGTCTTTAAATTCTATTTCATTTAATGGCAGGGTAACACAAAATGAGAGAGTAGGTAAAAGGAATCCAGAATTTCATTATATAATTATCAGAAATCTGAAAAAGTAATTTACACTAGTTTTTACTATTAGAAGGTGGTTAAAATCATTGCATATCGATGTGCATGGACAATATGGATGCATCTGTTCTGTGTACTTCTTTGTCAGTCTTACAGCTGACAGCCCAGCATCACATCATGCTTGGTTGGGGTCTTTCAACCTGTGAACATTTTTATTTTTTTTTTTTTAAATTGTTCTAGGATAAGAGTAACCTGGTGTCATCTTCTTCTTTTAATGCTGATGACTAATTAGGATTAGATTATTTGTAGTTAAATGCCCCCAAACCTGTTTTACTTGGTACATATGTACATGAATGCTTCATCATATCTCAAGCATTGACCTGAAGCTCTGCAGGGAATGTATCTCTTCTAGAGAAAAAATGAAGAAAACTTCTTGGCAGTTGATGTCTTTGAGTCCCTTCAGCAGGGACTCAGCTGTACAAAGAGTATCTGAAATTCATTTCAAAGAGCAATAAGCATAAGATTGAAGTGGTGTTTGGGCTACAAGTCCTGCAGCATGGCTATCTAGAATCTGTTACGACTTAACCATGCTTGATTGCAAGTTGTGAGTGAAGCCACTTACTGCTAATGAGTTGCAGATGTGGAAATTTGCTGAGATTTTACTAATGAAGAATCACCTGAGATGCTGATATTTTTGCAGAATTGGATGCTTAAAGATGAAGAACCTGGATATTTGATGATCTGCCCCTTGAGTCATGTTCCTCTCCAGTACATATTTTTATGACACATTAGATTTGTTTTTATTATAGGAAACAGTATGGTGTGCTGTGAGGTAGATTTTAAGTGCTAGCATCTGTCTGGTAAAAATGACAAATTTGCCAGAAGAATGGCTGAAACGACTGAAAACAGCACTGCTGCAGTAAGAATTTAGTTCATTATACGTATTGTGTTTGTTCATGTGTTGATGTATGGCAGTTGTTCCCCTTTCTTTTTTCTCCTGCTCTATGAGAGGTCCTCACCTCTTCTGCATGCTTCATCATCTCTCTCTTGCAGCCTAACAAACCAAACCAGGTAGCCTTACGTTAGTCACTTAGTGTCACCCAAACTCAAATGTCAGAATGCAGTGTATTTTCCCTAAGTTAATCCTCCAGAGAATAAAATATTTCAGCAGTATGACAATATATTGTGTTTAGGAACATGAGACACAGTTTTGGAGTTGTAACGTATCAACACCTTAAGATGCACAGGACATTTTTTACCTTGAAAATTGTGAGTTATTTTTAAATACTGTTTTGTTTGAACTTGAACGTGCACTGCAAATGAGTAAGACAACTTGGGCACAGAACTTTTAATAGCTGTACCTCTGCATCACTTGGCAGAGCTTGGCTTCTTCAAAGCAGGCATGGGGAAGATGGAACCATTATTATGAAAGAAGTCAGGTGTACCCATACAAACTTCCCTTAGTACTTGTAAGCACTCTTTGTTTCTGCATCTGCAGCACTTTGTTTAATGTAAGATTAGCTGTCAGAGACACAAATGCAACAGAAATGCCTGTATAAGACTATCCA